AAAGAGTGTAAGTTTCTCTCTTCAAGAAGAAATATATGTTATGGAGTTTTTTTTAGTAAAATTTTATCCAGGTCGCGTCTTTTTATTTCATGTTTATTTAGGCCCCCTACTTGATTGGTTTAACCATCGTTCTGTTATCTTACAGTGACAAACTTGAATTTATGATAATTTCTTTTTGGTTGTTCCTCTTCTCAGCCGGCAAGTCATCTGTTTTGTTGGATGTAAAGCCTTGGGATGATGAGACTGACATGAAGAAGCTCGAGGAAGCAGTCAGAAGTGTTGAGATGGAAGGTCTTTTTTGGGGAGCATGTAAGTTCTTTGAAGAGCTACTAAATGCAACTTTCCTTTCAATCATAAATTCAAATACAACTATTTTTTTTTCTTGTTTCTCTTGAAGTGTTATCATTTCTCAATTTTTAAGTGATTGCATCATTTGGTCTGTGTTCTACTAGGCATTTCTTTCAAAGTTAATGTGTATAAGCTGTTCCCCTTGCAACTACAAGGAAGAATCTTGATTGATGGCACTGGATAGTTTGTGCTTCTCTAGGCATTTCCTTGAAAGTTAAATGTGCATAAGCTGTTCTCTTTTTAATGTCTGTTTAGTGCGGAACATTATATCTGTTTATTGAACGTTTGTGCTGGTATGGTATCTCTGTTTTCTTTAAATTAATGTTTAATTGGCGTTAAAGCTGTAAATGTGTGTCATGTGGTTTTCTATTCACCTTAAAAGGAGAAACTTTTGATCTTGACTTGTATTTCTGATGCTTTCATGCTGTTTCCTATGGCAGCCAAGCTTGTACCTGTGGGATATGGCATTAAGAAAATGACAATCATGCTAACAATTGTTGATGACTTGGTCTCCGTGGACACTCTTATTGAGGAACGTCTGACGGCCGAACCCATCAACGAGTATGTCCAGAGCTGTGACATCGTGGCCTTCAACAAAATCTGTAAGTATAGACGAGCCTTGAATGGTAGTGTATGTTGATACGATAGTTTGCTGATTCACGCTCACCTGTTGATTTTTTCTTGTTTTGCAGAATCCGAGGATCACAGGAGAGGTTTCTAGCAGTGGGAAAGTTATTTATCTACCATTGCTTTGCAATGATAATATATTTTCTTTTCCTTCTGTTGCTCAGAACTTGAATTTATTGTAGTCTTGTTAATTATTTGTGGTCCTAGTAAATGGGTGTCAAACTCTAATGGCAACAATTTTCTCTATAGCCTTGTTGGCAATGAAATTCTATTCCAGTTTGGTTTGCTGTCAAGATGGATTTTGCAAATACAGTTCACCACCCAACCCGGTGTTTTCTTGGACCAGGGGATTGATCTTCCATTGCAGTAGTACCATGCCTGTTAAGACGCGAAGATTTGAGGGAGAGGGTCCGAGGATGACTGTTAAAATTGATGAGCAGTCTGTCAATGCTCAATGCAAGGATGTGAATAATATTATTCACCTTCTTCTGACATCAATTCTCCTACTCTCCTTGATCTTCTCTATATAAGTGATCTGTAAATGTGAAGAAATAATAATTTAGAATCAAATCAGCCACTGCATTGAAAAATTGATTAGACAAGGTTTATCTAAACCACAAAAAAAAAGTGATCGAAAAAGCATTACGTGGAGCCCTGTCTCCTTTTATTTCTTCAATAGTAACTCTAGAGTGCAAAAAGTTTCCTTATAATTCCAATTTCGTTATATAAACGATACATTTACTCGCTGTAGATTTGTTTTGTTTTAATTTTTCAGTGTATTAGGAAATAAATACTATGTTAGCATACAATTTGATCATCAATGAGAGTATGATTACTGAAAACAAAGGCTTAGATGCGAGGGTCCATGGGCCACCAAGGCCCATCCTGGGAATATAGATTTTGTTTATTTATTTTTAATGTTATTTTTTATTTTTTAAATTTCATTATTAAATATTTAATTAGTTTTTATATTTTATTTTGATTTACTTTCGTAAAGATATTATAATTTCAAACAAATATCTCAATATTTTATTAATATTAATTTGTTTTTTCATTTCGATTCAATTTAAATGCTTTATAAAAATTTTTTATTTGATGTTTTCATATTTGTTTAATAATATTATAGGTTTTCATTAGAATTTTGACAATTTTTTTTCAATTACTAGGTATAAAATACAAACAAATCATGAATATTTAATTACCATAAAAGTTATGTTTTGTTTTTAAAAATTTTAATACATTTTTAAATAACTTTATCACATTTATCAATATTTTTTTCTTCAATCTTATACTAAATTCATCTTATACTAAATTCCAAGACTTTGTTTGAATATTTTTTTTATGGCCATATTCAATTTTTGTTTGGGAAACAATGTTTAGAAAACAATTTTTGTAATTTATAAAATATTATGATATTGGGTTGATTATTGGTTTTGCATGTGCATGAACTGTTTTTTTTCTTTGATTTTTTTCCATTTAAATTTATTTTTATTGAATATTTTGTTGGTTTTTATTTTTTTAAAAAATTCTATCCTTCAACCAAACGATGGAATTTAATTGGCCAAATTTAATAACAATATAATTTTTTTTTAATTTTTTTATGTTAATTTTTTTCTTAATTCAACGTGCAGCGTTGCGCCTGAGGGAATCCATTGTTTGCCTAAATTTTGGTTGTTATCATTCCAGGCCACCGAAAGAATAACATATGGTTTTGCAATGCCAAACCATGTCTTTTTTCCTGGAGAAAAAAAACGAGGACATCAGCATCGGCACGACCACTGACGGCGCAAGAAGCGTCCTTTGTTGTGGTAAAAATAAAACTGCGTGATGTATGTTACGACGTCGTTTCGCAGTTTATGATTTTTGATGGGTGTTGAAAGCTTGAAGGTTCGACAACTTCCTCTCTCTCTACCTTCCTTGTTTGCTCTGAATTGGATTGAGTAGGGGAGGAGTCATCCGAGTCGTAGATTTCAAGTGAGAGAGAAAGAGATGCCGAAGAGGACAACGCACACGTACTCAAGCGAGGACGCAGCTCCCGACGGACCAGACTCGGATCTCTTCGTTTACTATTGCAAGCATTGTGGCTCTCACGTCCTTATCACTGGTTCCTCTCTCTTCCCTTTCTTCTTAACTTTCAATCACTTTATTCCATAAAAATTATATGAGAAGTCAGTTACTTAATTCGTTGATTATTTGTGTTTTAATTAATTGTTTAATCTCAGACAACTGTGCTAAAAAAATAATTAAAAATACTGAAATATGTTTGTTATAAGATACGCAATTGCAGAAAATGCCGAAAAGGAAGACTGACAAAGCTTATGCATTGGACAAGAAGAAGCATCTTGCAAGGCTTAACGTTGACGAGGCTGGAAAAGTTGTCTTGAAAAGGTAGATTGCCTTTTCTTTTTTTATTCTTACTATTTGGAAACCTAAATGGAAGGTTAGGATTGTTCTGTGTTTTCTCTCTCTGTTTTTTTTTTTTTTTTTTAATTTTATTTTACAAGTGTAGGATGCTGGGAGGGGTAAAGGCTTGAAATTTGAAATGGCGGTGAATCTTTAAAGCTAAATACTATGTTGAATTGTCTATTCATTCATTGCCATCTACATGCTGACGGCATTGGTTGCTTGCTGTATGTTGAACTGCTAAAGTAGTATATATTTGCAAGGGTGTGTTTTTTAGTGTAAACATTATGTTCTTGAGATTTCAGTTATAGATAGATTATAGTTGCACTAGAACTCATTATGATTCTGCATCATTCCTGTCCAGGGGTGAAGGGAAATTGGAGAAGCAATTTCGTATGAATTGCATGGGCTGTGGGTTGTTTGTTTGCTATCGAGCAGAAGAAGATCTGGAATTTGCTTCTTTTATATATGTTATAGATGGTGCACTTAGCACAGTTGCTGCTGAAACAAACCCTCAGGTACAAATAATTATTGTTAAGATTTGGAGTGTTCCACTATCCAAATCTCTTACATAATAAATTAGGAGACTTTATCCAATGTTCATTTAGCATATAATTTGTTGCCTTTTTTTTTTTTTTTGTAAGTGGGTGATGTTCATGCATAAAAATGATAAAATATTATAAATTTCCTCTTATGGTTTTCCGGCATATGCTGTAGGATGCTCCAGTGCCCCCTTGCATATCACAATTAGGAGGACTTGTGCAGGTGGCCATAGAGGTTGAAGACCGTGCACAAAGATCAGCAATAACAAGTAATGTCATCTTTCCTTACTGGCTTGATCTGCACATCTTTGATATTATTTGGCTCGCTTCTCTGTCTTGTTCTCATTTAAACGGGCATAACCTTTCTGTGACTGGTTATACAAATATGAATGAATGATGTAAATCAATTAAACTTGTTACTGATATGCCTGTAAGTTGACTCATGTGTCTGCCTGCCCGCCTTACATGCAAGATGCAGTTGAATTAAATTCGGCACCTATATATCCCATGGATGTTGAGAGTTTTGTCCATGCATGAAGTGGCGCACACGATGCACATGTATATACAAATAATATAAATGGATGTATCTCTTCGTAGAAGTGGAAGAGAGAGGAGCAGGGATGGGGAGAGCTGAGTGGAAATTTAGGAATATTGAGCAAAAAAGACCCTGTTATTGTAGTAATGTGGTTGTTTACGTAGCCTTGGTGCTTGTGTCTTGGAAATTAGATGGTCTCGTTGAGGGTATCTTGTGACCCTAATTCCCTTCTCCTTTTACTGATGAAGTAATTGGAGTTATCTATATGGAGTTCAGAGCTGACAGCAGACTTGATAGTGTTTCCCTGGCACAGTACATCCCTTAATTATAATCACTTCTTCGCTCACCAAAAATTGAGTAAAAAATGAATTATAGTGGATATGGAAAAAGTGGGATGCCTTTTCTTATACTTTTCTCAAGTTAACTAATGTAGTGTTTCCTCTGTTGTCATCCTGTGTCTATGCAACACCCCTCATTTCTTGTTTGTGCTCCTTAATTTGACCTCAAATCCATGAAAACAGAAGAGATTCTGGACAGGAACAAACCACCTATGTTTCGTACCCACAAACAGTGATATGCTTGAATGCATACAAAATGTAACATACAAACATGCAAATATTTCATAGAAATGCACATTAAGATGTTTGACTTATATTTGCATGAAGGAAATTTCAGAAAGGTGATTGAAAAGAACAATGTAATTGTCTTATCTAGTACTTTGCATGATATGGTAATGTATTAATTTTTTATTTATGATCATTATGCTTGATATATTTCTTTCCAGGAGTGAATGCTGATGATGTTCGAGTTACTGTAGCTGCACCTGCTGCCCGTGGAGAAGCTAACAATGAACTTTTGGAATTCATGGGCAGGGTATGCTCGTCCATCACAATCCTATTTTGTAAATTGATAGGCTAGTAAAATTAGGCACAGAATCTTATATCATCAAATTAATTTGCCAAGGTTAACATGATTTGCCTTCACACAGGTTTTGGGTCTGAGGTTGAGCCAGATGACTCTTCAAAGAGGATGGAATAACAAATCCAAGCTGCTCGTTGTAAGTAAAATCGAAAAGTTCTGTTTTTTCATAAGCTTAGGTGTGCATGATGAATGTGTGCTTGCATGCTTGCATCTTTGGTTAATCTGTAAAATCTTTGTTAGATGGAAGTTTTGTTTGAGACCCAGTGAACTTTATACAATGCCACATGTGTTGGAGATCAACTTGTTATATGGAAAATTATGCTTCTGAATTCTGATACTGCTTAGACAATTCATTAACTTCTTTAAATATTTCCAGCTTAAGTGGAAGAGAAATAGTAATATTAAGTAGGATATACTTGATAAAACTTGGAAAACCTCTCTTCAAATTAGCTGATTTCCATGTAAATCATCTAAAGCTGGTTGCCCTCAGATGACCTTTCAATCCAAACCAGTCCAAATTAATCTATTGTCTTTAGGAAAGCTGCCAATGTAAACAAGAGAAGCATTATATTTGGCGGCTGCCTTAATTTTTCCCCGAATTGTCAACAAGCGAGCATTTACAGAGAACTTTTACGTATCCATGATTCTGCTTCTAGAAGTTGTCTCCATTTTAATGATCTTTTTATTCTTTTACCAGGTGGAGGATCTATCTGCTAGACAGGTTTATGAGAAACTACTAGAAGCTGTACAACCCTGAAGCTACTGCATTTTCTAAATTATTTCAGTTTTTTTGCTTGTATTGGATTAATTTATCTGTGATCAATTCAAATGTAAAATTTATAGTTTGAACTCGAATACTGTAGTTAGAGCCCATCATCTGGTGTGTAATTGT